GGGAAGACTAGTCACATGACTACTTCACAATGGGAAGACTAGTCACATGATACTTCACAATGGGAAGACTAGTCACATGACACTTCACAATGGGAAGACTAGTCTTTACAATGGGAAGACTAGTCACATGATACTTCACAATGGGAAGACTAGTCACATGATACTTCACAATGGGAAGACTAGTCACATGACTACTTCACAATGGGAAGACTAGTCACATGACACTTCACAATGGGAAGACTAGTCACATGGTACTTCACAATGGGAAGACTAGTCACATGACACTTCACAATGGGAAGACTAGTCACATGACTGCTTCACAATGGGAAGACTAGTCACATGACTACTTCACAATGGGAAGACTATTCGCATGACTACTTCACAATGGGAAGACTATTCGCATGACACTTCACAATGGGAAGACTATTCGCATGACACTTCACACAGTGAAGGCCATTATTCCCTTCACACTTAACTTCGTTGTCAAGTTCTCTTTAGTTCTTTACACCTTTTCTCTGGTTGCTGTTCACTTCACACGTCACTTCGTCATTGCATAGCGTCGTTTTTAGTTCTTCACTTTTCTCTGGTTGTGTCTACCTTGGCAACTTGCATAGTTTTTCTTAGACTACAGTGAGTCGCTTTACTCTCTTTTACTCTCCTTACAGAAGTAGTCACTGATGCGTTCTGAAGAAAAATATTTCTGTCAAAACGAATTAGTGCTTGTTGGCCGTGGATGGGTTTACGGTAATTTCTGTGGTTGTTTTTCCTGCTAGGACTGTTTCCCGGTTGTAACTGGTGGCATTCCGGAGACCACTGCTTTGTTGCGCCAGCGCGTCGACTACATCTTCTACACCGGAAGCACGTTTGTCGGTCGTGTGGTCATGAAAGCGGCAGCTGAGCATCTGACTCCAGTTACCCTGGAGCTCGGTGGTAAATGGTCAGTTTTTTTCTCCTTCTCCTTCAGTGTTTCTAACGAGAGAGCTTGGAAGCTCAGGGCCCTACGCTATGCTTTTTTGCCTTGATGACCTAGACAAAAAAAAAGCATAGGGATGTTATAAATTCTTTTAAAAAATCCTCTTTTTTTAAGACATAACCTGGGATTCGAACCCGCACTATCGCGCGCCCTGCATGCATCGCCCGATACATTTCGCATACATACGAGGTGAATAGCAATTTCTGGACATGAAAATAAAATAGAGGCCCACTGGCTGTGTGTTTTACATTTTTCATATCCATTTGTATCTATTGTATGGCCTAATCCTTCATCTTTCCAAATATGTGACAATTGCTCATGCTGTGATCCCAGAGACTTTATAGCAGGATGTTTTCGACAGGCCAATTTTTTGGCCTAAATTCCAGTGTATGGAATTCTGGACATGAAAGTAAAATAGCGTCAATAGGCATCCTATACTGCACCATTTTTGTAATTTTTTCTATTGGTGGACTGCAGTTGGCCTCTTCACACTTCCAGCCAACAGGTCCAAGACTATACAGCGTCTGAAGTGGAGTGCACATGGGGAAGCCAACGATTCGTCCATTACTTCTTATTTTACTCAAAATTCAAAATTCTCATGCGACATAGTACCACAAAACTCGTTGAAATGCCTCCCACGAAAAGGCTATCAACAAGGCACTGACACGAGGAGAAACTACAACAGCCCAGCTGTCAACTACAACAAGAAAAAACTTCATCAACCTGACTGACTTGACTGTACACGCGACGAAAAATTATTTTACTCGAAATGTCCAGAAATGTCCAATGTCCAGAAATAGCAATTCACCTCGTACTAATTCTTCCAAGTTGTTTCACATTGTGATCTGACGGGAAAAAAGCATAGGATGTTAGAAATTTTTCAATACTCCTATTTTTTCAGGCATGTCCTGGGATTCGAACCCGCACTATCGCCCTACATGCATTCCCCCATACACTTCGCATTTATACCCATTCTTCCAAGTTGTTTCACATTGTGATCTTGCGTTTGAAAGCCCTATTTGAATATGCATTGTGGCCAGCCATCTTTGATGGCACGGCACGGTAGGGGATAGGTACGGGACAGGTACGATCGAGGGTAATACGACACCGTCTCCCTACCGTACCGTACCATCAAACACAGCTGGCCACATACAGCTGCCCGCAATATTCAAATAGGGCTTTCAAACGCAAGATAATAGGGAGGTTTAGTCCCACGTAATCCGTGGGTACTTTACGTGGGTGTACCACGTGATACTCAGTGACCCACGTACAGACGTTTTCTGATTCACGACATACCGTGTATGGAGGCTCACCCACGTTCCGCCAGAACGTGGGTGAAAATCAGAATGGAGCGCATTGTGCGAGCTGTGAGGGTGCTCAGCTGAAGAAGTTTCCGAAGCACGAAATCAAAATATTGGATGAGCTTCTTAGGCCGGGGTAGCTTCGTCTTTGACCAGGTTTTGGCCTTTAGCTTCATGCTTTTGTTTGTTCCGTGTGACTAAACACAACATTGCAACGTGGGTGCCCTTCATCCACTTTACGTGGATCACCCACGTACGCGTTTCCGTTACGTGGGAACTAAACCTCCCTAATAACGTGAAGCAACTTGGAAGAATGGTTATGAATGCGAAGTGTATGGGGGGAATGCATGTAGGGCGATAGTGCGGGTTCGAATCCCAGGATATGCCTGAAAAAAAAGAGAATTGAAGAAATTTATAACATCCTATGCTTTTTGCCGTCAGATACGGATAGCGCCAGGCGTGACACAAACAAACAAACAAACACACAACTTCTGCATAACGTTAGCTACGGGAATAATATTATTTTCTTGTGTGTATGCATGCATGTGAGTGGGGAGGGGGGGGGGGGGGGTGCATGCATGCGTGTGTGTGTGGGGGGGGGGGGGTCCTGTTCTGGGACTTTATGCTGTAGGGTAGTGCAGTGTGTACGATGTAGTGAGTGGCAAGCTACTTGTTGCGTGTTCTGTCGTCATTCAATGCGAAACACCTCAAATATTGTTATTTTGTCAAAGAAGGGTTGCAGCTAGTTCTCGCTCCCGCTCCTATTCACTTTCTCTTGGGTGTGGCGGTAATCTTGAGCTCAAAGATTGATACTAATAAGAGCCCACAACTCTGAATCCAATTCGAATGGTCTTGTGTGACTCGGTGCAATGTCCTCGATGATTTCATAAATGTAAAATAGAAGAGAACACATGGGTACGGGTTATGAAGTAACTGTCCTCGACTGTAACAAGATACTATGCAGTCAGGAAGTGCCCTCTTACAGTCGTGGACAGTTACTTCACAACTTGTACCCATGCGTTCTCTTCTATTTTATATTTTTATATCTATGACTGTGCTATGATGATTGTGACGTTTTATTTTGGCCTATTTTATTTATTTCTCTATGTCTAGCCCTGTCTATTTGGATGAGCGCTCCGACATTGAGATGATGGCGGACAGAGTAGTTTCAGCAAAGTGTATGAATGCCGGCCAGGTAAGCGTGCTCGTCCCAGGTGAACGTGTGTGTGTGTGTTTGTGTGTGAGAGAGAGAGAGAGAGAGAGAGTGTGTGTGTGTGTGTGTGTGTGTGTGTGTGTGTGTGTGTGTGTGTGTGTGTGTGTGTGTGTGTGTGTGTGTGTGTGTGTGCTAGAGCAGTAGAGGGGAGGCCCAATCCCACAACTCATTACTTGTACTCTTCTGGCACTGAGTCGATTTTAGTTGGACCGAATAAGCTGCCACGCTCCGTTCGTCTATTTCCAATTGAATTTGCCCACCTCACCTAAATGGGTAGAGTGTGCACTCCTAGATAGGGATTTGTATGGCCACTTCACCGTAGCGGTCACTTCCTTCATAGAGAAGCACGGGCAAAGGTGAAAATTTCAAAGCCTGTTGTCTTCTGGGTGCTGAATTGAATGTTGATGGTCTGGTAAGGCTAAGTAGTAAGTACATCAATGCTTCACAGAGGCAGTAACTGCACCTTAACTTGCTAGTGTGCTCAATGCCTATGGTGGGTAGAGTGCAGTACACAAGAGCTACACACAGGAAAAAAGTAAGGGCTCAAGCGTTGTAGCTCAGAGTTTCAGGGTTTGGCAATCAATCGCCAGAGTTCCGACGAAGAAGCCCATACGTTCCTTTGTTTACCTACAGTGTGCATCATTCTGTTTGTATCTTAGTAGTGGCAAGAGTACATAACCTCCAAGAGTGTGCAACTCCAGCTATGGGGTCTGCGACGGCAGAACTTCACATCACGTGATGCACCCGTACACATTATTTGCACTCTGTGCATGATTGATACAGGGTTGTACGAAACTCAGCTTTGGGTACAACTCTCTTGTGATCACTTTGCACTGTTTTCCAGTGTAACCTTTTGAACCATGTCACGTGATGTGAAGTTCTGCCATCGCAACACTGCATAGAGGTTGTGCAGGCAGTTGCACACTCTTGGGGGTTATGTACTCTTGGTAGTGGTCACCCGTTTTTTTGTTTTTGTTTTAAGTCTATTCTCTCCTCCACCTTTGGTGTTGTTTGTTTGCAGATCTGTGTGTGCATTGATTACATCTTGTGTACTCGCGAGGTTCAGGACCGACTCATTGCCGCCATGAAGAAAGCATTACATAAATTCTTTGGTGACGTAAGTTGCTTTTTTTGCTATTGTAACGTGACAGTGGAGCAGTGCAGCACGGCAGAGTTTAGTTTGCACATGGAAAGGAATACCCCCCCCCCCGGATACAACAAATCTGATTTCGGCATTTAACCCTTTCACTGCTGCAGGGTTGTGCACACAGGCTCTGGAAAAAATCCGAAAAATAGGGCCGATGGCCAACTCCACTACGTTATGGTTCAGGCAACTGGGTCGGTGAACTTTTGGGAAATGAAGGCCAAAGCTACCAACATCACACTGACAAACTCGATAGGTTCCCCAAAAAGAGGTATAAAGCTGTATAGGACACGTAAGTTTGCTGAATTTGCATAAAATACGGCAAAGTCGGCAATTGCAGTTGGAAAACCGGACGAAAAAAGGGAAAAAAGAGACGCAGAACGTAACTAAGCGGGATCCGTACCCGCAACCTCTCGTACATGAGGCAGGAACTGTACCAACTGACCAGCAGTGACAACACACGTGAGGAGAAGACTAAAACCGGGTATTTATACCATGACGCACATGTACGTCATCAGAGCCTGGACGTCATCTAGGATGACGTACATGTACGTCATCCGCGGTGAAAGAGTTAAAAAATTAACCGTGTAGTGGCGTGTCTGGTCTGCTCACCTCCCACCGCTTTAGCAACTGCATCCGCTCCTTGATCATCGAAGCGGTGACGACGTTCCTGTGGATACGGAGTTGTCCGTGTGGCGGTGGACTCTGACACAAACTGTGACATTTATTTGTGTATGCAAGGGAATTTCTTGTCATACTCTGTGTGTGTGTGCGCGGGGGGGGGGGGGGGGGGGGAGTACACCCTGTACTGTATATAGCTGATACTATTGCCTGCTTGGTCTCCTCTTTCTCCCTCTCCCCCCCCCCCCCCTCCCTCACAGAACATGCAGAAATCAAGCTGTTACGGCCGTATTGTCAACGACAGACATTTCCAGTAAGTGCACAGAAAGCAACATTACAAATACAATGTCATGTACGTACGTGTTTTCCGGTGTATAAGCTGCACCTACAGTCCATTCATTGGAAACTGGCACCCTAACTTTTAGGCGTCTCCCACACATAGTTGCAGATTTCGTGAAAATAACAGTGCATCCTGCATTGTGTGACCCGTGCAATTACTCCTTGCCACATTTGAGGCCAAAAAAGTCCAAGAACAGGGAAATAGAAATTCAGCCAGGTTTTACAAAATTAGGACGGGTATGCCATGGAAAAATGTATTGAGAAGCAGATCCAAAACCCAGATTTTTGAGATTTAAAGTGGGTTTTTGATCCTCAATTCGGCCCAAATCCGGCTTTCAGAAGCCAGCAGGACTGTTTCCGATGAATGGACTGTAAACACTTGTAATTTTTTACCCCAAAAGAAGTCGATGCACCTTATACTACGATGGTCAAATGCTCCATCTTTAATATACTCCAGAGAATACGGCAATTGCAGTGCCACTGTGCCTACCTGTGCTGAAATACCACGAGTATAATATGATGTAGCAGGCACATCCGGCTGCAGTTACTGTATCACATTGTGCCATTTTAGATCTGTAACAATTTCGGTGTCAAGGACCTGACGGTTTTCAAGTGTAATTTGCGAGTAGAATTAGGTGAGCCGCATTCCTTTCATATGCAATCTACAGTGCATACTCCAGTGCCTGGCTTCTCTATCGAAATTACCGACATGAAAGTTACACAGAAAGTAACGTGTTCTGCAGTGCCTGTAAAAGTCATGACTGTATAAGCTAGGATTATTTTTTATAATTGTTGTTGTTGTTGTCGTCGTCGTCGTTGTTGTTGTTGTTGTTGCTGTTGTTGTTGGCGTTGTTGTTGTGTGCAGGCGCTTGACCAGCATGCTTGATAGCAGTAATGGCACAGTGGCCATTGACATGGGGTCAGACCGAGCTGACCGCTTCATGGGTCTGAAGGTTCTGTCCGATGTTTCCGCAGATGATTCCGTCATGAAGGATGAGGTACGCTGGCCACCGGCATGGGTGCTGCTGCTGTCTCTGCTGGAGGTGATGGGAGAGCGTGCTTGCGCGCGCGCGCGCGTGTGTGTGTGTGTGTGTGCACGTGCACGTGCACATGTGTGTGTGTGCGCGTGTGTGTGCATGCATGCATGCATGCGTGCTTTCATGGCATCCCTGATTATGATCGCTCCACTAGATTGCATTCATTGGTGGTATTATTGGCTAGCCTTGGCTTGATATTGAAGTAGCCATTTTCCCGCTCTGGTCTTGTGCTCCAATAGATCTTCGGGCCAATCCTACCCATCGTGCCTATCAGAGATGCGGACGAGGCCATCCAGTTCATCAGGTCCAAGTAAGTTGTTGTTTCTGATCATGTTCACTATAAATCTGGATACAGTCAGACCTCGCTTATCCGGTCCTCGCTTATCCGGATCCCTCGCCATCCGGAAGAAAAATCGTTGGTTACCGTTTTACAGCATATGGCATGCATACGTACAGTATGTGTGTTCGATTATCCGGTTCCCTCGCCTATCCGAATGTTTTTGTGGAAAACGGATGTGTGCGGTTATGCGAGGTCTGACTGTACTTTGTTGCATTGATGAAGTCAACCCTTGGTGCTGTGGTGAGTAGGACAGTTGCTGCATAGTGACAACATCATTATACCAAGTGATCATCATAGGTAGCCAGCGGCGGATCCAGCGATCTCTACAGGGGAGGTTTGAGTATACTAGTAGTCAAAACTGAATAGCTGGTACATGTACAAGGACACAGTAGTACATTTACGAAGTGTATGGGGTTCCGCGGAACCGCTGGAACTCCTCCTGAATAAGCCCCGCCATACATGTCGTTCCTCGTACTCATTTGCACTCCTGCCCACCCCGTGCAAGAAAGAAGCTACGAGTACCGTATTTTCCGGAGTATAGTGCGCACTTTAGATGTGCTATTTTAGGCCCTAAATCGCAGGTGCGCACTATGCTCCGAATATGAAATGCATGTACTTCAATGAAGATTGAAGTGCGCACCCCCAATGAAGATTGGGGGTGCGCGTTATACAAAGGTGCGCACTATACTCCGAAAAATACGGTAACGGGGACCGACACACTCGTTTCCTGAGCGAGCCGTAGTCTCTTGAAATCAAGCTTCCTATGCGGTGTGCTCCCGTTGCCAAGTCGTCACCTATGACTATTCTCAAATGTAGGGCATGTTAGACATTGATGTTTCATTGTCATGCCATTCAACTATCAGTTACCGCGGGACCACACGTGTGATTCAAGCAGGCTGTTGCAGTTTGCAGTGGGGGGCGGGGAGGAAGAAAGAAGAAGAACCATCACTTATGGAGTGCTCTGTTGGTTTGGCCTTGTGTGTGTGTGTGTGTGTGTGTGTGTGTGTGTGTGTGTGCGTGTGTGTGTGCGTGCTTGCGTGCGTGCTTGCGTGCTCGGGACCAGGGAGAAGCCACTCGCAGCGTATGTATATTCTCCGGACACCGCCACTGTGGAGAAGTTTGCAGAATTCACTTCATCCGGTGCTCTTGTTGCCAACGATGCAATGGCACATTTGCCACGTGAGTACTTCAAGTAGCTGTTTTGTGTTTTCTGTTTTGTTATTGTTGTGTTTTTACTGCTTCATGCACGACATATCTCTCTCCTCTTTCCGCTGTGTGCCCGTGTGTGTGTGTGTGTGTGTGTGTGTGTGTGTGTGTGTGTGTGTGTGTGTGTGTGTGTGTGTGTGTGTGTGTGTGTGTGTGTGTGTGTGTGTGTGTGTGTGTGTGTGTGTGTGTGTGTGTGTGTGTGTGTGTGTGTGTGTGTGTGTGTGTGTGTGCATGACATATCTCTCTCCTCTTTCCGCTGTGTACCGTTGTGTGTGTATGTGTGTGTGTGTTTGTGTATATGTGTGTGTGTCTGTGTGTGTCTGTGTCTGTGTGTGTGTGTGGGGGGGGGGGGGGGTTGGTTGTGTACCAATTATTGTTTACTTCCTCATGGTGGGGATCTCAGCGCGTGCAGTGCGCAGGGTGTTTGCGCATACATTGCGTCATCGAGTTTTGTGTGCAGCTCGCGGACACAGCAGAAAAATGGCGACGGTCGATTTTCGACACTTGGGGACGCGGTGGACACTAGCGGAATCGTCATCTTCATCGTCGTTCGAACATACTTTGTAATTCCCGCCGAAGGACAGCGTGGCCAAGGCGATATTGCCCCAGTCGATTTTCCTATAATTTTCCATGCGGCAAGAACCCACTTCAGAGAGGATTCAGTCAAAAATTCAGACGTTTTCTCCGGTTAGATTGTCCTAACTTCGATTTTCAGTGCATCAGCCGCAATTATCACTCGGAGAGAAGACATCGCGCTCAGTAGAAGAGGTGTTCACGCTGCGTCCAAGAGTGAAAGATTGTGCTCTTTGACCCTCCATAGTTCCTCTGAGAGAGTGTCTGGGAGATAGGTAGCTTGGAGATGGCCGTAGAACGTGCTTTCCTGGACGCAATATTCAGCCATTTCTACTGTCTTCTTCAACTTGATTTATTTCGAAAAAAATGTTCTTTTCCACGATTTCTGCACTGGACGCATTTGGGATCGAAAATCTCACCTGCGCAGACTGGCTGCGCAGTTCACGCGCTGAGATCCCTACTCATGGGTAACAACATCAATGTCTGTTCTTGTGTTTGTGTTGGCCATGCTTGGTGTGCGTAGTGGCATCACTGCCGTTCGGTGGTGTTGGTCAAAGTGGCATCGGTTCCTATCATGGCAAGGCCTCGTTCGACACGTTCTCGCACCACAAGTCCATCCTCGTCCGCCACCAGAACATGGAGTTTCTGAACAAGCTGTGAGTAGAAACACGTGCACACACACACACACACACACACACACACACACACACACACACACACACACGCACACACACAATTTGTGCTACGCAGGGTTCTAGGCAAAGGGGGGTAGGGGGCGCAGCCCCCCCCCCTCCCCCCTGTGAAAAAGTGCCGCCCCTTACTCATTTTCCGATTTTTGTATTTTTCATGCCGTTCAACGAAAATACAGTTGAAAGCCACTAGCAGAGGGTTAAAAAGGTACACTTGTCTGGGGTAAAGTTGGGGTACATTGCATTTTGGGTGGCAAAACAATTTTGGAAAATGGAAAAAATAGGCTACGGGGTAACTGTTCCCCCCCCCCCCCCCCCGGTACTATTTTTACGTGCCTAGAAACCTGCTACGTAATGTGAAACTAGTGTAATAGTGCTCCTCCGCATGCACATGCACAGGCATCTGAGTCCTTCTTTTCTACATCCACCGCCACCAAGAGAATCTGATGTTATTTGTGCCTCACCGAAACTATTCATCAGCAATGCAGACAAGGCCAAGTCGCTAAACATTAATTAAACAAACGCTCTGAGCTCGTGTCCGAATGTAGCCGTGCGCCAAGATTCTACCGCTCGAACTTTAGAGCCTGAATTCTACACCGAGTTTTAGGATACATACAACATACTGCGGAAGAATTAGTAAACTTATCACAAGTCATTCACCCCATCCATGTACTTTTGCACAGGTTGAAAACGACATCTTACCTGCATCCCCTGTGCAACACACGATACCACCACTCATCATTCTAATCGCTGCAGCATCCGTGCCTTCCGCCAAACTATTGCGCTGCAGACTCTTCATGCACCACTTCCCCACTGATGTGTCAAGGGGTATCACTTTTTCTCTGCGATATTGCCCGATGTATATTCCTTTATAATCCGTCTCCTGATGATTGTGTAGAGCACGACTCTTGGAGTAGAGACGAATTCCACTGGACATTGTATGTGTGGAGTGTGGAGCTCTGGAGTGCTGGTCTGTCAGTACTCCCATTGAGCACTCCGACCTGCCGGCAATGATCATCCTGTACAATGTACCCACCCGACGTATGCGGCAATCTCCTATGAACGCTACCGTTGGACAAGACGACTACAGTAAAACCTGTATAAGACTACCGTGACTAGCGACCAGCCTGGTACTACGGACCACTTTGCCAGGCATGGACGGTCTCACATTCATATATGGCTGTGCGGTGCAAACCTCTAACTAAGGACCACCTGCCACTAAAGACCACTTTCTCTGGCCCCAAGGGGTGGTCGTTAGTCACAGGTTTTACTGTATGTGGCTCATCTTACCTCGGTCAATGCTTACAACGTAGAGTGGATATAGAATGAGCTGCAGGTTTTGTTTTTGCTTTAAAAGTGGATTTTTGATTTGTACGGTATTTGCGTGTAATCCAGCCTGCGCTACCCGCCATACTCGGATGCTGGTAGCAATCTTCTGCGCCACTCCTTGTACCGGACGCCTGACGAGGGCATTCTGCTCTACTTGAAAGCGCTGGTGATGGCAACGCTGGCACTGCTGGGCTTGACGGCCACCACCTTCCGCTCCCGGCACTGGTAAGTCGGGGAACGTCGCTGCTGTCGGTCTTTGTGGGGCCTTTGACCTGACTCGGCTGTCCGATTGCAGTAGAGTGCTCATCACGGCTGATCTCTGGCTCTTCTGTTCTTGTACGCTGTGCTTTGTCTGGGCTGTGGATAATAGTAACGTATTTAGTATTTACCCCGTAAACCGTGCTGTGTTCTATTTCTGTCCTCTAGATGTGGCTTTGAAATGCTTTCCAAGTGCCTCATCCTCACCGATACGAAGCGGCTTATGGGAGTTGCTGAGTGTCACTGAGTGTCTTCACGAAAAATCGCTTTATTTCCACCATACTGCTTTGATTCATACCGTATGTATCCATGCATGCACATGTTTGTGCTCACGTCGAGGCATGCACGCGTTCCAGTGCACGTTTGTGTGTGTGCGTGTGTGTGCGTGCGTGTTTACGCATGTGTGTGTGTGTGTGCGCGCGCGCGCGCACACGCACGTGCGCAGGGCTGGACCATCATCTTAGAGACATGCGTTTTCTGGATTATGTCTGCCTTCCCCCGTGCACACATGTGCCACAGCTGGCTTTATCTAGGAACTCTAGAAAGTATGATATCTGCAACCCTGGGGGGTTAATATTTCCATAGACCGTTTCCTGGTTTGATGATATTATTATATTATTTGCAGGCAATTACGCTTCACTATGATGGCGTTTGCCAGGCCAATCTCAATTTTCTCAATTTCCTTCATGATTATTCCCAGTGCTGCTTTGATCACACCCAGTTATATATTATTTCACCCGGCTGGTCTCATCCGGTTCTCTCTATACCAGCCCTATCCGCTATATTCTATATTCTGGTTTTATTTCTAGAGCATCCACAAGGTCGAGGAAGTTGATACGGGAAATTCCGCTTTCTTTTATTTCCACCACTCCATCTTTCATGCTTGATATTTGAAGCAACGACTGACAATGGCATACTAGTCACTGCATGGTGTTGTGTGCTCAGAGGGTACACCGACCGGATTGTACTTAGTGGTGTAGGCACGGACTGCTTGGCGGTTAACGTAGTACCTAGCAGGTGACATCTGGGGCTTCATCCGGGTCCTTCTGCTAGCCCAGTGCTCCTGTCCTGTGAGTGTTTCTACTCCTTTCTAGTTGTTTGCCTTTCACTGCCTTTTAGGCTACTGTTACGGGCTTATCGGGTGTTAGCAGCCATCGCGAGGTCCCTTCGGGAATGGACACGATTATTTCCTTTTTACTCTCTTTTTTTTTTACACTGTTACGCTTGCTGTCAGGCCGTTTCCGTTGTTCTGCACAGGGAGTAGTACAATGGTATTGTACTACTCCCTGGTTCTGCACCACTGTGAACGCACTGTACTTAGGTATGGTAACTGCTAACTCGTTTGTGCAACAGTAGCATGCATCACGTGCTAGAGGCAAGGAACCGCTCTCTTGAGCAACTCTTGAGCAACCGCATGTGCTTACATGATAGTACAGCGCTGCTCAATGAAATCCAGTGGCGAGAGTCAAGCTGGCGCTGTGCACCTTTTCGCAGCCCAATGTTCGCAGGTCAAGGGCTGCGCAACGCCCGGCGCGTGCTCGAGAAACTCTACTGGATTTCATCGAGCTGTACTGTAATTATTAAGATCGTAACGAAAAGTACTTTCTTGTAAATACAAGCACACGCACGTGCACACACACTCACAACACACATGCCCCTCCCACACACGCCTGCACACACACACACACACAGCTACCACAAAGTGTCTTGTCTGTCGCTATTGAAAGCCATGAAAAATCTGCCGAAGAATTTGGGGGAAAGTAGAGAAAAACGAGGGCTAAGTGTGGTAATGTGCAGAAATTGCAAAATTTCCAGGAACTTGAGTTTGACACAAGGCACTACAGTGTGAAATTAGCACTTTAAAAATGTCACTAAAGTCAGCAGAAAACAAGTTCACAGCGCATGTTCTATCTTGAATCTTTACTATCCAATCCTATTTTCTTACTCATTTCAGAAGTCAAGAGCATCGTCGAATAGATTTGTCCCGTATGAAGCACATACACGCCTGTATACATTTATGCGCACATGGCGCACACAGACAGACACACACACACACACACACACACACACACACACACACACACACACACACACACACACACACACACACACACACACACACACACACACACACACATGAGAAGCTAACCAATTCACTAATGTGTGACAATTGAACGCACCCTGCATCCCGGCGTGCACGGGACCCATTTGTTTTACGTCAGCTCTGAGCTTGAGTAGAAATCATTCTTCAATTGCTGCGTGAAGGATAACAGTCGGCACCGACTGAGCGGGCCGCATTTACCTTTCTTGCAGTACCTGCAGCGCCCATTGACATAGAGGTCCAGAGCTGGCGATGACTGCGTGAGAGGCTTGCAGTCCGCCATTGCAGGAAAAGGATAATCGTGCGACGCGGCTGTCGATGCCACCACCTGTGGCGAATCAAGACTCGGAAGAGATACGGCATAGCTAAGTGACAGCTCCCTGCGTATGGTCGTGGGCTTCCTGAGATCACCCTGGCTCGAGTTATGCTTGGAATCGGATCTCTTTAGGTCACTGCGTTCAGCCTTCGGACTCGACTGGGCTGATCGGGACGTCGCAGCTGATTCCAGCTCAATCTCCGCGTCACTGACGTTCTCAGAGACAATCCCTTGGACTAGGAATTCAAGATGTTTTCGTTTCTTGCGGTTGTCATCGGTACTGTGGTTCGGTAAGCCCGTGGCGGATGCGCTGGGGACTGGTGGTGCACTCTGCCTGCGTGCGGGGCTAGCCATCTGTTTACTTATCTCCTTTGTGGCTGAGCTGTCTTCGTCAATCGAACTCCTGCAGCTTCTTGCGCTCGCACCAGTGTCGATGGACATTGTCGTCGAGCAGTCAAAACTCCACGGCATTTGGTGGCGCAGCTCATCAGCAGCGGGCGTCTTTGTGAGATTCTCGTGAATCCTCGCCAGTTTCTCTTTCAGTGCTTTGGTCTCCGCGTGTTCCTTGCCCAATAGCTCGCTTGTGATCTTGAGCGAGAGTCGATAGTGACACTGCGCTTGGGTGTTGTTGCCCAGTTCGCGGAGAAGATCAGCGTAGATGTTGTGTAGCTTGGCGGTCTCGATGTGCTGCTCGCCGAACTCTTTGCAGCACGACTCTAGCACTCCGACGGCCGTCTCTGCCAGTCTTTCCAGGTCCGCACCGCTCTCCCTATACTCACACCAACATAACAATATTATAACAGCGAGCACTAGTGATCAGCATGTGTGGTATCGCAAAGCAAGAGAACGCGGCGGGCATCCTATACGCAAAGTCAAGAGGATATGCACAACAGGTTTGGTAGGCACGGATGCACGTACCATTGGATACACTTAGCACTTGCCACCCCGTTCCGGGCAGTCCAGCCCGCAAAGCAAAGCTAGTACATGTAGTTTGAACCGGCTGCAGGAGCAACAATGGCAGTCCGGCGCAGAAATAAGTTACTAATAAGTAGTAACATTCCATCGAGTCCGGCACATCATCATAATTATGAGTAACCGTTAAACTCACTTTCTGACCAGAATGAGGGATCCGTAGCTGATCAGGCGATTGCGTGATGTTGAGCACTTCTTGCACGTTTTGATGGATCGCACAAGTTGTGCCTCTGCGTCGCGCAGCTGAACATCCTGCAACAGAGCGATAAAAAGCAATGCACGACAGGCTGTACATGTTTAAATCCACTTTCAGATTACTGTGCTCTAGGGTAGTTGATGATTGGCCGTGTTGCTCAGTGATGTACAGCAGAAACTCTGACCGTAGTCACTAGTGACACACATCGTAAAGACCCCATGGCCAATGCCTGGGTACAGAAGTACTCGCAGCTTCAAGTAGTCTACTGTATAAGCAGAAATATTCGTCTGGAATTTCATTTCGTCTTTTTCGTCCAAGGAGCTTTTGGACTAAATTAAATGCCGGACTAATGTCGATTATGTCCAGCTTTTCTATACACTCTTATGATCCATGGACGAAATTTTCAACCGGACGAACTCCCTTTCTTTGGAGTTGGACGAAATTATTGACCGACGGAATTTTCTTCCTCAACAGTGTATGGCAGCAATGCTGCATTACAATAGCACTTAGTTCACACAATGTGTATTGGCTTTGAGGGCCGTGTTATTGCTGCAGATGTATGTGTACTCCAAGTAGTAGAACTTGACCCCTCGGCACAAATTCAGCCCATGTTGGCGTGGCGACGTGTGTGTGTGTGAATGTGCCATTCATATTATAATAATACAAGTACTTGACTCTGTACCGCTGGTCTGCCGGGGCTTCCCCTTTTCAACACACAGTGTACATGTACTAGATCAACAACGTAATGTGTTTTGTGTGAAGTCCACCCAGGAATGCTGGTCTTATGTGCACGTCTATGTGTGCATGCATTCACATCATGTGCACGTCTATGTGTGCATGCATTCACAGTCTATGTGTGCATGCATTCACAGTCTATGTGTGCATGCATTCACATCATTCTCTACTGGTTTAAAATACCCGGCTTGTCTAGCACCTTTAGAAAAAAGAAATGCCTTATGTAGCATGTAAATGAAGTTACCTTTTCTGGCCCCTCTTCCATGCTCTGAGCCACACAGAGATGCAGATGTCCGAGAGTGTGTAGGACCCGGCTGCGAACGTCATCGCCCTCTATGCCGAACATGTCGTGCGCCGAGCACGCGTTGGCGCCGACCATGGCGCGCTGGCAGTAGCGAATGGCGCGCTGGAAGTTGCCGCGCTCCGCCACCAGGCCGACCTTCAGCTGGCACTGGGCGGCGTTGAGCAAAGCGCGCACGGCCAGCGGGTGGCAGTCACCGCCATGCTTGACCATGATACCGAGATGTTGTTTGTACAGTGGCAACGCCTTCTCGTACTCGCCCACTTGCGATAGGAACTCGGCAACCATGTCCATATCGCACGCCAGGTCGGCCTCCTTGTCATCAGACATGTCATCGTCGGCCACCACCACTGCGGTTTCATCGCCAGCGTGTCCGTCTTCGCCATCAGGCAAGAACAACGAGCCTTCGTCGTGAGGTATTGGGCCAGGCGTCAGAGGAGCAGACAGCTCGTCGCAGTACTTATACTGCAGCTCCTTCAGGTACGCCTTTCCAGCCCGGTCGTAGCCACCGAGGTGGCGCCAGAACTGCATCAGACGGAACTTGAGGCCGGAGACCCAGTGGATGGACAGAGTGGACAGCAGTGTCAGGTACTGAAGCAGACGATCATCGTCCCGGGTCTTCATCAAATGGTACGGCAGCTCCTGTGCGCGCCGGTCCAAGGAGATGTCGGCAGTTTCAAAGTATTTGGACAGGAAAAGGTGCACTCTCCTCTCCAGTCCATTTTCACGCTTGGTCTCGCCGTCGGTCAGGTATCGCTCTCTGCATGCTTGTAGCAGTGCAAAGTTGTTGATGCTGATGACGCCGACTGTATTGTAGAAGAGGGAATCATGTGCAGAGGACAGCACCAGGGAGAGTGCCGCTCGGTTGGACTTGTGCGCTTGAACAAGCTCAGTCTCGGTCATGCCGCAGTTGGACAGGCACAGCGACATCATTACATCCCGCACCAGGTTCTTTCGGAAGTTCTTGTCTGGGTTGTTCAGCTCATAGTCTCTCTCCCAGCGCTCCAGGACCTTTTTGAATAGGTCAACGACATTCCCTGCCTCTAAGTAGCGCTGTAGAAGATCCCCAATGGACGTGTACGTGCCACACACACAGAGTTCTTTCAGAAGACACGCCATGAACAGCGGATTGGACGTCTGCGGTGCGTGTGTTATGGTTTCCAACTTCTCTTCGTCGATGCACTTGCCGAGGTCCTTCAGTATCTTGCTGATAAGAATGCGTTTGGCATTCTCGCCCATACCCTCGACGCGCACCACTCTCCACTGCCGCTCAATCACAATCTTATCGAGAAGAACACCGGGCTTAGTTGACACTATCAGGCGAACATTCTTGCCCACTGTCGACGGCAGCCAGGCCAGGTTGGGGACAAGCTGGCTTGCACCCTCACCACCGTCCATCAGGTTGAGCGCGTCAAGAATAACCACCATCTCCGGTGATGTCACTGCTTCGCTGGCGCTGTTATCCCTGCCGTCATCCACCGGATCCTCCAGAGTGATGTTGCCACTTAGCAGCTGGTAGAAAGAGGCGGCTTTACTGCCCGTGTTCATGTCAGTGTCCCCGGGCAGTTGGATGCCGTGCAGTCGAGCCTGGTCAACGATACTTGTAATCACAGCCTCGGTGTTCACCGAGCCGGAGTCGCAGCCGCAGAAGTGTATGCACACTGTCTTGCCCTTTTTCCGCGCCTCCTGCGCCACGTAGGCCAGCAGGGTGGATTTGCCTTGACCCACGTCGCCGGTTACAACGATCGGCGAGGACATCTCGGCAGACTCGAGTTGAGTGTCGAGCGCATAGTGCAGGGGCACGCTTATGTTCTCCGGACACTCTACGAACAGTCTTGTTTGCATGCGACAGTAGGCCTCTTGGAAAAGGCGACCGAGTTCAGACGCTGATAATGCCATCGGCTCCATGTCATCGTACTCTTCCATGTTCATCTCTTTGCTGCACTCCTCGAACTCCGTGCTAATCATAGACTTCATGTCTCTCTCCACATAAGCAGCAAAGTCAGATAGGTCATTGTAGGCCTGGACAGGAAACCCATCATGTTCTATTTCTTCTTTCAGCAGACCCAACTGTTGCAGAGCTAGATCGCTCTCCGGTGGGTCGCCCTCGGCAGAGCCATCCGGGACGAAGTTGGCATCACGGAAGTAGAAGAACGCCCGCTTCTTCATGGTCTGTGCGTGGCGCAGCGCTCCGTGCATGATCTCCAGCTCGGTGACGCTTCTCTCGTCATAGCGTAGCACCCATGGGTGACGCGAGGAAGCTCTTGCTATAGTCTGTACAAGCAGTGAGTTCTCATCATCCTCGCCATTGCCTGTCCCAGCTAGTTTACTTGTATTATGCCAGCCGTATCGGTTGGTCAGAATGCCGATGAAGAACGGACGGCACTGGTCTATTCCGTCCAGACAGATTCCCACCACGCCTCCACCTTGCACCTGTTCGTCAGTCACTCCCCACCGCAGATCCAGCACGTTGAAGCCGAGCGGCTCGGGACGCAACGACGCACACCAGCTCTGCAGCAGGGGCACGACATTGCGCTGCAGTATGTTGCGCTCCGCCTGGCAGTCGCGGAACGTCGACGAGAGGAACACGCGCACGTTCCTGCTCTCCAGGTTACGATCGATGAGTCTCTGGACCACTTCCGCATCTTCTATGATCACATCCTTCCGCCTCTCGTGTGATAGTCCTGCCCGACTATCAGCATTGCAGTTGACATTGCCCTGTCCTCCAGGAGCAAGCTCAAGGGAGCTTGCCACGGAACTCATGGGTTAACAAATACCTAGCACAGGACACAACACACAAGCGACACACTTATGAATTTCGTGCCCAGCACAGAACCAATGGACAGTCTACAACATGTGCTGACTACAGTTTGTACAACAGTGAGACGACAGTACATAGACATGCAGTTGAGCCCGACTTAACCTTTGCCATGTAATAAGCTACATCACTTTGACATCCTACTTTGTATGCTATACAGGGTTGTGCATTATTTAGCGCATGTTCGGGCGGCAATTTCACTCCCTTGTAGAGGCATGTGCAGCTGCCACTTCTGTCAAGAATAGTGCTGAATGCTCCACAGCATGGGAAGGTCTTTGGACTGTCAAAATCAACTGAGCTAAACTTGCTTGACTACCACACAAGCGAGCCGCGAAGAACTTCACAGTGAAAGGGCTATGCACGCACGCGGGCCGACTAGGCAAGCCCGTAAATGCTATCACCATTCAGTAGGGCATCTGCATTCGAGTGTGAGATCATCACTCAGTCAGTGGCGCCGTGGCGCTGTGGCATGGGTACCATCCCTGGCGGTGGCGCTGTGGCATGGGTACCATCCCTGGCGGTGGCGCTGTGGCATGGGTACCATTCCTGGCGGTGGCGGCAAATTCACATGCACAGCAATGCATTGCCATACTTATTACATACTGCATGTTCACCATCTAGTCAGTGTCACTGGCTGATTCTGACGTGAATTATGTATCACCCCACACTGCCAGTTGAAAGGATACACACCTTATCAACTAGCAATGTCAGCAGCTCTGCAGTTGCTATAACCAGGAGCCCTGAAAACCACAGTTTCCAGCTTCGGTCATGAGGTTCATATCATTATACAAAAGTGTGCGGCCTGACAGTTTGAAGGCGTAACAACGTGTAACAGAAACTTGAAGCCTGACAGAAACCCACACTCTCTCGTTCCTGACAAAATGAGCAAGTCGTTGCCTTCTTGGTACTTGACAGTGCTATGTCACAGCCTGCCGGTAAAACAGGCACATACACGGCACTGCCGTTGGAGGTGGTCCGGCTGGAGGGGGGGGGGGGTGTGGGGGTCCCCCCGGGAAAAAAATTGAAACTAGGGTGAAAAATCCTGCATTCTGGGCACTTTTGCCTTTGCGTTACTTTTTCCAAAAAAGTGATCCGGCTTTGAAGCCGGACCGGCTGCTACGCCCCTGTGAAAGTCATCAGCAATTTGAAAATGACGAAGAGGGTTTACACATCTGCTGGTAGTGACGTGGCTGGGACCTGGGGGAGGGGCACGCTCATGCAGAGAATGTCACATCAGCATGCAGCATGACATGCCAATTATCAGAGATTATCAGAGAGTTCGTGAGACCAACCGTCACTTTTTGGGATCACGTGCGCGGAATTTTTGAACGGCTGGTGAACAGGCGAAGCCCAGTTCACGTTCACTTTGTACGGGAAATCCCCCCGGAATGGATTCACGGAGGTGACAGAAGCACTAGAATGGGGCTCCACTTGAATCTGTCACATTTCCTACACTTTTCAGTGCATTTGGACATGTGACCTGTTCACCACAATCTCGGGGTGAGCGCCGCTGGCGGGCACAACGCTCCCGCTCCGTCCTTGAACAAGCATATATTGCTGCTATTACCGTAAAGTACCGCCAGAGCGCCCCGTCTCGCGAGAGCGCCCCACCTTGATTGTACAGCCAGAGAAAGGAAAATCGTATGGCAGAGTGCAACGAAGTGTGTACAATGTGAGAATCTCAGTGTACTAAGGTCACACTTGGCAGGTTTTTGTGTGGAGCTTGTGTCCTCTTGAAGGTACGGATTGACTGCAAAACGTGCAATATGTGTACAAGGTTCATGTCGTATGACCTACAGACAGCAGACCACCTCCACAATACGACCACGAAAGGATGAGATGGTGGGGCGCTCTGGCGGTACTTTACGGTAATATAAAAAAATGATGACTTTTTGGTGAAATCATGCAAACTGCGTATTTATCGTAAATCTGGGATTGCTCAACATGCTCATGTATCTGAACCTTGACCTACAGCCTACACTAGGCTACAGGCTACAAACAGCGAATACACATGTATACAATGTTCATGTACAGTCATGTACATGTTCATGAGGTTGAGGGTATCGGAAATGGGAAAAGTCTGAAAGAATGTGCATGATTGTACTGTACTGTACAAGTACATACAGTACTCTCTTGCCAAGACTGCAGAGTACACGATAATAATGAGTCATTCCGTACCATTCTTCCTTCAGTTTCACCCACCGCCACTGGCATCGACTGCTCGAGTATGTAGCTAGTACTTAGCAGAGCCTGCACAGCAAAGACTAAGTGAAACTGTTTAGGACAGGACGCTGTCCATATATCCCCCATGTGACTCTGAGTGGCACAGGGCGAGGTGACAACCTCTGAATGCCCCTCATCACCAGGGTGCACACGTACACGCGCTAACATCACACACAGGAACAGGTTCTACACTCACATCACGTTTAGGGAGCTCGATAAAAATAATGCTAATGGAGCGGTTGTTATTATAACTAATATTTTAAAGGGGAAGTTAAGGCAAAAATTAAAATTTCACCAGTTGTAGTCTTCGGGGTGCTGAGTCGAATGGTCTTGGTCCGAGGAAGCTGAGACGCTCCCTTCCTACTTGAATCCCAATCGAACTCGCGCACTTCCACCGAAACTGGGTGACTGCGCCCTACTAGATGGGGAGTTGTATGCAAAATGTCACTAAAAGCGCCATTTCGTTCTTATAAAAGCACGGATGACCGCGATTGGCCCATATGTTGTAGTCTTTTAGACGCTGAGTCGACTGGTTTTGGTCCGAAAAGGCTGCGATGCAGCGTTCCTCCTTTATTCCCAATCGAACATGGTTGAACAAGCGGTCACGTGCTCCTGGGTGCCCAAATCACCTGGTCACCACGCCAGCAGGTGACAACTTTCACACCAAGGTTCAACTCGAGTTCAACTCGAGTGACAGGACTGCACCCAAAAAAGGTCAAACAGGCTAGTAAGTTGTACCCTGCAGCGACGGTGACCAGGTGACTGGTGTACGCAGGAGCACGTGACCGCTTGTTCAACCCTGTTCGATTGGGAATAAAGGAGGAACGCCGCATCGCAGCCTTTTCGGACCAAAACCAGTCGACTCAGCGTCCAAAAGACTACAACATATGGGCCAATCGCGGTCATCCGTGCTTTTATAAGAACGAAATGGCGCTTTTAGTGACATTTTGCATACAAATCCCCATCTACAGTCCATTCATAAAAAGATGGGCTCTGGCTCTGGCGAGCTCCCGTATTTGGCGGTTTTTCGTGATTTCATCGTACACAGTGCAGTGCTGTGAACTTTGAAATTTGAAAAAGGGTCCAAAAAGGGTGCCTGAACTGGGGTTCGAACCGCAGAATGCACTGTTGCCAGGCGGGGTCAAACGGCCTGGATTTTGATGGTTTTCCCAATTCTGTGCTTTTGGGGCAAAACCTGGCCGAAATCCTATTCTTGCTATGGCTTGCTTTTTGGCCAAAAAAACTTCAGAAACATAATTGGAAGAGGATTCCATAGGGGATTGCCAAAAAAAATTCTAAAAAAACTCAAAGTTTGACCCATTTATGGCCAAAAGCTAGAAGTTCATTTTTTTCTGAATGGACTGTAGTAGGGCGCAGTATTTTATTTATTTATTTATTGTATTTATTTAAAAGGATTCTCCAAAAGCAAATGGATGCTTATCACGGAAGTCTCCCACATAAATATCGCAAGAAAAATGGGGAAATGGGGAGAGGAGAGTGGAAGATGAAGCATGGGAAGAAGGGAAACAAGTACCTAAATATCGAGGTATAAAAGCAGGAAAGAAATCGACGAGGGAAGAAATCACCTCTGCAGATAATAGCGGGACATTTAGATGAAAAAAAACCAGCAAGGATTAATTTCAAGGAAAAAAAATTTCTCAAACGGAAAAGTTCGGAATTCCAGTCAGAGAATATCTATGCTGAGAGTAATGAGCCTTTAGAGCAATGCGAAAATTGACAGAGGACTGAACGCAGCGGATGTGTTCTGGAAGTTTGTTCCATAGTCACCCAGTTTCGGTGGAAGTGCGCGAGTTCGATTGGGATTCAAGTAGGAAGGGAGCGTCTCAGCTTCCTCGGACCACGACCATTCGACTCAGCACCCCGAAGACTACAACTGGTGAAATTTTAATTTTTGCCTTAACTTCCCCTTTAAAGTGCTGCACTGATCGCTGAGTCACAGTGAGTGCTGAGGCAAATCGGCTCACCCATGACTTCACGCTATCAGAATACAACAGCCATCACCTGATCACGGCATCAGACATTCAGAGGTCCACTCGATCTTGAAGGTGATCACGGAGAAAATAATCAAATTTTGCAGACTCTCGGCTAGAGCATCAAATGCTACAGTGACGTGTACATGTACCTTGCACCTTGTAAAGACTTTTCTAATAATAATATTATTAGTTGTAGTAGTAGTAGTACTGTATACATATGTACCAGTGCAATGTATTTATAAAAAAATATGTTGTGCCAGGCCAGTGTCAGTGATGCATATACTTAGTTATTTTTACAAACAGAAGTACAAGTAATAAATAACCGGTAGTTGACGTGACCAACGTGTAGCCGCCGTATTCCGACGTGGTGAAATGAAGGCCTACCCCATGGGTATAGTCATGTATCACATGTACATGTATATTACCCGTAGATCTACCCATCGCCGCGTCGACCGTCGGGACATCACCAACCCCGTCTATCTGGTCTATAGACTATAGTATACTATAGTCTAGAGAGCACCTTCTCGCGACAGTGTCATGCCTCATGGTGGTGGCAGTAACTGTTGACAGCTGACGAGCTGAGAGAAGGACGCCATGGGCAGAGCATCAAAGAATACACGACGGACGTACGAAGTAGTCTCCAACCCCCTAGCATAATGAGGGTCAGAACCGGGTTCAACACCCATTATGGTTCAAATGGTCCACAGGGACCGGGGCTCTGCCAACCGCGGAAGGTTGTAGTAAGGTCACTGTTTCCGAACACAGTGTCCTCCACCTTGTTTCATGCTGTCAATCTAACAATATGCATGACTTCTTTACATGTACATGACATGTATCATGCCCGGAAGTTTCCGTAAGAGTATACTAGTATTCGAAAGAGGCTTTTCAAACACAATATTAAAATTAATATTGTGTTATTCTATGTGACATCGTAGATTGTATCCGGTCTTGGTGTACAACGTCTGTCAACTCTTTGGTTGCTAGGATATATGGGCGAAGCGGTGGCCCGCCGATGCGAACGTCTTTGCGTGATGTGTTCATCAACAAGTCAGGTGATGCGGCCGCGAATCCGGTGAACTTGACTCTTTTTACTTTCACTTCATAGATGTAAAATACTCTTTTGAATGTTTTGTGTTTGTTTGTCACCTCTTGCAGTTCCGCTGCGTTTGCTGTTTCTCATCTTGTCAATTATTTTGAATGTTGTGGCTCCACTGTATTCGTATGTCGTGTAGCAATTGGTGTGAAGTTTGTCACTATTTTGAACCGTTTTCAAACATGCTCTGGCCGCTCATTCCCCCACCCTTATAACAGTCGCCCTCTCCCTCATTTCTCATCATTACCAATCTGAAGACAAGAAACCGTCGAGACATTATCAGTATCAATCAGTCTAGATCTGCTCCTATCCACCGTTACCTATCCATCATTGTATCTTGTGAACCCCTTGGCTGAACCTGTGATGGTATGTCAACGTATGGACATCAAGCCTTTGCCGAACTGTCTGTCTGTCTGTCTGTCTGCCCGTCTCTGTCTCTCTGTCCTTGTCTCTCTGTACATGTATATCTGTGTCTCCGTTTCTGTCTGTCTGTCTGTCTGTCTGTTTCTGTCTGTCTGTCTGTCTGTCTGTCTGTCTGTCTGTCTGTCTGTCTGTCTGTCTGTCTGTCTGTCTGTCTCTCTCTCTTTTCTTCTTTCTCTGTTGTTCCTCTTTGCACCGGTCCCTTTCCCATTCGCTATCTTTGCTGGTTCACATTCATTGGTACATTTCTGTCAAGTAGTGTTATGTGACTTCAAGTCTTGCCACCTCCTATAGCTATACGTCATAGGATGGGTAGGATGAGTGGGTCAGAATTGACGATAGGCCCAGCTTAGCCCTTTGGACATGTATGACCCAAAATGACATTTACACCTTGCCGTTCGCCCTGGCTCAAAGACTTCTAACCCGCGAAAATGGATTATTTTAATGAAAAATATCTTAAAAAAGAACTGTAATCCAGGCATAGCCCTACAGAAACCAGTAGCTGTCCTGTTGATCCCAAGCTAGCTCTCTCCCTTGACTGCAGTGGGGAAGAGCACCTCAGTGCCAGGTCGATGTGATTGACGTCTTCAACCACAGAACATACTTGAATACTGGAAAGAAGAGCAGTGTGATCGTGCAAGGAAAGCAGGGCTGTTTGCAGCCTGTGGCGGACAATGCCGGTAGGAAACTCAGCAGATTTAGAGACGTTTTCGGGCGAGTGTCATGCACGATACACGTTCGGTGTATGCATAAGAAAGAGGAGAAGAATTCACGGAATCGCTGTGAACAAAAACACTGTATGTTGCAG